ATGTTTACTGTTTAAAGGTCAGTGGCAGAGTAATGACACAATGCAGATAAACGCTGTGTGTTCCAACCCCTCCCCCTCCCCCTTCCTCCTCCAAATACACACATGCATACAGGAAAATAAATTGTCCATTTTTATTAATATTTTACAAGAATGTGTAAATTTCATGTGATGAGAAGATATAATAAATAATTTCTATAAAATTGAAAAGTTGTTCTCAGATAGAAAAAAAAAAAAGTTCCCCCTCTTTCCCTACCCCCTTCCCTCCCTCCATCTTTAATAGTGCAGTCTCTCTTCAAAAGTCCTCTATTTAGGTCTTGACAATAGTTATTTAACAAGATAATGTTCTCAATGTTTGCAGATCGTGTTCGAGTTTTATCAGAATACAAACTTGCACCTTGTCTTGATCTTTTTAATCTACGGACAAATATTAATAAATTATTGATTTATGCCATATTAACCCAAACAAAATTGAGATGACTGTTTATTCTTATGATAACCCGACTTTGAACTTGGACAGTGAATTTATGGCCTCTAATTTTGTCATCACTTCGTGAATTCATAATTCTTTTAGAATCTGCTGATTTCTATAAAGTAAAGTTAAAAAATACCATTGCTATCAGAGGAAAAATATTGAAAGCTTACAGACATTTGTCTTATGAACACAAAAGTTTGGAAAGCCAAAAAAAAGTTTAATAGATCAATACTTGGATAGATGATGAGATAAAATAGAAACTATCATCTCAATGTGAACAGTTTTAAAGCTGTATTTGGTTGATGTCTGGGTTTCTGCTAACTCTTCACCAGTCATCAATGTCAAATTATTTGCATATTTAAATTTCACCAGCGATGGGTAAGGTGAATTACAAACTATGAATTGTTCTTTAATAGATAGAGGGCAGCATTGCGCCACCATCAACATATCTTCATCAGCCAAGATCTGTTTATCATCATTTTATCCCCGTTACCTTGCCAATCCTGTTAAGCGAATATGTTCCCTTTTTGGAAATTCAACATCTGACCATCTTGTTGTCCATTGCCATTTGCTGTACCAACTCTGATTGGCCACATCTTTTAAATCTAATCAGATCTATTTATTTCAATGCAGTCAACTATGTGACCTCTCAGAGGGGGGGGGGGCTTGAATTTGCTATGTGAATCTGAAAGATGCTGTAATCCTTTGTAATGTTATGTTCTCACTGTTGCGAACCACACCATGCTATTATATCCTTTAGCAGAAGTCCTTGATGGATTGCTTTTAAATGGGATTCATTTTGAATATGAATATCATGTAGCACTTCATAGTACATTCTGTAAAACCATCAAATATTTGAACATTTTAAATTTCCATATTTTGTAATAAACAAGCAAAAATTGCATATTTAAAGATCTGAAAAGTTTCCTTTGCCCAATTCATGCATTCATTTATTTATGCAGAAGGGAAAAGCACAACATCACTCAACATGTTAACCAGTGTGCCTTCTAAGCCAAAATGACACGCCACTAATGCACAAAGATCTACTGTAACGCAACTAGTTGTATTACCGTAATTCACTGTCACGTCATTGACACATGAGAAATTTGTACATTGATATAGCGATCTTGAAAAAAAATCTTACAATAATTCGGTAAATGAAATTCACTTTGTATAAACAAAATAATTATAAATACGAAGAAAATCAGGGGCTTAAACATTTCTTTTTGTGCCTCAGGTCTCCTGTATAATTAGATACAATTTAATTTTCTTGAAGACGATCTCCCCAGCAGTGAACAAGCTGAGTGAACTTGACTTTGGGAGATTTTATTTCCATTCAGGATCAGTTCTGTTAGAGGGCATACTAACAATTCTGAAATCTGGGAATAAAAAAGGCTACTGTGAAATGATTAATTTTCACTGGGTTTAAATTTCACTGATTTATCATTTCAGGCATATACAGTGGGATTTAAATTCACGGTTTTATCATTTAGATAATGTGTTCTATGCTAAATTTTACATATTCACTGGGTTTTAATTTAGCGCATTTTCAAGTCAGCGAAATAAGCAAAATTAAAACCCAGTGAATAATTAATCCTTTTACAGTATTATCTAACACAGTACTAACACAGTAGGTTATTGCAAATTTCATGAACTTACTCAGAGTGGAATACCTATTTATGTGGTTTGATTGTCTAAAATATGAATAACATGAAATCACATGCATCTAGGAGAAAAGTATGTACAAAAATAACCAAAGGATAAAACCAGTTTATGCCGGTGTGGTCAAGTTTCATTATAGTTTTGAATACGTGTTGTATGTCCCGTAAAGGATATGAACAGACATCGGCAGATTTATTGTACATCACATGAGTATAACTAACAAATACTGAATTGGTTCAATCACTGACATCAAACACTGTCTTGTTAATGCAACAAATCATGACAAGTCTATTTCAGACAAAAACACACTTTTTAATTTACAATTTCTTAAAGCATTGTCATTCACTTGTCACATTTGTTAATTACTTGTCAGTGCCGCAATAGACATGTTGTTTTCAAATTCATTGTCAAATCCCCACTTAAGTAACCCATTTCTCACCATTGGTCCCGCACATTTTAAGCATATTTCTCACATTTCTATGGTAACACTCACTGACATTAAAGATGAATTTAAATATTGATATTGTCTGCAGATTTGAAGATTCTGGTTGCAAATTTTTTACACCTTCAGGACCAGTAAGCAAACACTTCAAATTGAAAAAAAAAATTGAAGAAATATGCATGAAAAAGTGCAAAATTTTAAGGATTAAAGGGATACTAAAATGCAGAATGTTTTGGCCACCACTGTTGTCATGGCGAGTGATACTGATATTTTTCTTATGATTGCATCAAACGTTACCTGGGAGCAAAATGATGAGACCATGTGCTGTACCAGGCAATAAAGCTCTGTAAAAATCTGAAATAAAGTTATGCATCTTTGATTTGTGAAATTTTACAAAAGTTGTCACGTCTCCAAAAATGGACAAATCTGTGTTTGTAGCACAACCAGAGTGTCAGCCACATCGGTTTCAGCGCTTACTAACACATGGTACACCGTTGGTTCCATAAAGTGCTGACATACTTAGGATTATATGCGATGTCAAACGCTCATCAACCAACAAGCTGCAATTAAGAACTTTTAAAGAGTTGTCACTCTGCTATGATATCTATCAATTGCTTGTGAAAAGAGTGAGTACGCTGACGCTGACGCAGTAGTTAATCACACTTGAATTCCCTCCACATATTCGCTATAATAACTTGACTTTTCAACAAACAAAAAAAATCTGTTGAGGTTTTTGAGCATCACTGGATAACATTTTTATCTGAAATCTTTGCAAGTCACATTCATTTGTCAGTTTTCTCATTTCAGTGGGCTTACAAATATATTGCACCTACATACTTGTTGACAGTTTGATTTTAAAAGCGTTCCTATTGTGTATCATCAAATGTTGTCAACAGTGCGTTTGTTCTCTGGATCTACAGCTTGTCGCTCAAGCCGATTATATTTATTGTGATCTCATTATACGAGGATACGTGATGAGAACCTAAAATTATTCTGACAAACAAACTTTGGTTAATGATTTTCTGTAAACGTGCACCGTACAAGTGATGATTACCACCACTCATTATGCAAAGCCATTCATCCATACAGCATTATCTATTGAGGACCTGTTTGTTTTCATCTGTGATTTCTTACCCTAAATTCTTAACAATAAATTTGAATGATAACGTAATCATAATTCATTTTAGCGACTACTCCAATTTGTCACCATTTCTAAAATCCATTGTGCCAGTCTTAAAAAGTAGACTACTGTATTAGCTCAATTGAATAATGGAGGTGCGTCTGTGGTCAAAAAGTCATATTTTAATGATTCACTATACACAATGTGTGCCTACGTTTTCTCAAGGTCTCTAAGAACTTTCACTGTTGATGCAAAATACTTCTGATATTAATTGTAAATTTGATTTGAAATTGCTCAATCATCTGGAAACCATGCTGCATTTTTAAACTGCAGAGAATGTTTTGCTTTTCAGGGTTCAGATTTGACTGGTCCATAATATGTAATGTTTGAATGGAATTGCATGGCTATTACTAGTAACTCGGCACCTGTTGACGCCATTTCCCCGTATTTGTTTTGGCTATCCGTAGAGGTTTTCAGCTAAGCATTAATTGTTGAGGTCTTGGAGACTTCACAAAAATGCATAGATTCTTTGGCTACTGACTCATGTTGGATCTATTGAATTACATTCAGTATTCCCATCCTACAGAAGTCAACACATGCAGTCACTGACTTTTACATGCCCACATTTCAACACAATAATAATAATCTTTACTGCTTTTACAACGGTAGCAAAATAAAAATTATAATGACAAAACTCTTTATATTATAAACAAAAAAAAGAATGTTAGTGAATAATTATATAATGGTCTATTATTATACAGATGGCTTCCTTATGTTTGATAGCCGTGTATCACCACCCACGTTGTTTGACATAACATAGACTACCCACGCATTACATTTCTTGGCACACCCTGCAAGTGTAGTGATATTTATACATCAATCCTGTTGTGGGACGTTCAGAAATTCTCAGTGATCATGCTGTATCCTGGATAATACTGAACCCATGTCGTAATGTTAGTCAAATATTTCGTGGGTGCTTGACAATTGTACTGTGCTCTTGTGTGTATGTAGGGGGGGGGGGGGCTTATCATGCATTTGGAAGAGTTTTTTATTCAAAATTTCAGAAATATTATCAGTTATGATACTGTTAATAATAATTGAGATCACTGTGAGTGGTGAATTTTTACCAATTTGTAAAAAAAAAAAAAATTTAATAGTTTTTAATAATTTCTTACGTGTACGTATGATGTAACCGCACAAATTTACATAACTGCTTTTTTAATGTAAATATTTTTTTCAGCACTGTTTACTGTATCATATTCTTATCACAAAATACTGAAAATCAAATGATCTTTTTTTTGCAGGATATGTAAATAGATCTGTCAGAACAGAGGTTATAAGTCAACCTAATCACAATGAAGTCCAATGTATCAATACACCATATACCTGTACAGTACTGTGATGAAGAACTATTTTTTGTATATATACCTTTAAAGTGTGGACAGAAATGTCTTCCTTCAATGAACTTATTATTATTTAATTGCTTATATAAAAGAATCTGTGGGCAATATTTTTACTTTAATGAATTTAGCTTTTCATTGTCTTATAATAATACTATATAGCATGCATTAAATGTTTATTCACTAATTTTGTTGATGTGTCTGATTTATACATAAACAGTAGCTTTACTTTTGCTGCCTTTGTTTTTAAGGCACAAAACTGGGGCTCATTGCCCTATGTGGTGTTATAGCGCCCTCGTGAGTTATTACAGTGCCCTCGCACTGCCATTTTGAAAAAAATATTTTCTCTCGGGTGCATTTGATTGACACAATTTAGATTAATTTCAAACCATTACTGAAATCGAGTTTCTAAACAAAACACAATCATAATCATGATTCTTTTTATTCCCTGACTCTAACATTTAATTTTGCAAAATAACAGAATTTGTTGATCATGGTGTTTGAATATTCAAGCTCTGTTCATTGCCCAAAGTCACCTTTCATGCATCCACCATCTTTAATCACAAAATTCCGTTTAAAACCATGATCATAATCAAACAGGCATTCAAAAATGGGATTGGTTAACCACAACCATAATTGAACAAATCAAATGCGCTCCACTGACAGACAGAAAGTTGTTTTATCAACTTGAAGGCATACATGTATATTTAATTAATTAATGTTCAGTTGTGAAAGACTGTTTTTTGCCAATTATCCCCTGCACTATAATATTAACCTTATTAACCTACCACTCCCTGTAAAAAAAATTTCTTCAATGCCAAACTAGTTGCTGTAAATTGGTAGTATGTCTTCTTTTTATCCTGTTTTTATCAGCTCACTCTTAATGATAATGAGTTTGCGAGGTATAGGTATGTCTGTTGTCGTCGTTAACACTGCATCTTGTGACCCGGATAACTCAAGCAATTGTCCATTCTTTATCAAATTTTATCAGTTCAATTTTGGTGTGGCTGGCTCGTATATTTATGAAGATATTTGAGAAAATGTGCATCATTAGCATAAACAGGAAACAAATGGATACTGGTTAAATCAATTTGGCATACCGGTAGATATGTTTTGTATTGTACAACAATTTTAAGTTTTGAAAAATCCTAGGAATGGATGAATGGATGGATGGATTTTGTTCAAACCTGGTACAAGCATTAAACATTATAAGACCCTCATGCATGCTACTTTGTTTTGCAGATCAACTTCAATATGGCTGACTGGAGGCCATTTTGTTGTCTGTGTCCACTCTACAGTGATCAATTACAGCTTAAGTTTTAGGGTTTTTTCATTAATACATCAGTTACTTTTCTATGTAGTAGAAATATTTAGACTCCATTTGAATATAATTTGGATGGATGTTCGTCTGGAGTCGTATTTCAGACACTTATTGATTCAAAAGACAACACGTCATGTCCTACATGTGCACATCTAATTACTGGATGGTCTGAACACAAATTTCTGACTGGTGGTCATTTCAGACATAAAATTTGCAATTTCTGATACGTGTCTGCGATTTGCACTAAAGTAAGTACATACATACATGAACATACATATTGGGTTACAAGTGCATATCATTTATTAAGTTATTGTCAACTGGTGGCCATATTGTGTTATATTGCTTCTATGCCAGTTTCTTTTGAATGCATTGTTCTTGTTTAATCTTAGTCCAGAAAAAGTATACTATAAAATACAACAGATCCAATTTTTTAGTTTCAATTTAATTCACCCGAGTGTTGGTCAAGTATAAGTTAAAGCACTAAATTTGTATGTGTCCAGAGCTGTTTCTTGGAGATTACTGAGCCAATATAGAGTAAAATTGGTATGATGATCACCAAATATGGTCGATTGGCAAACATTTGTATTTCCTGATGTACATGCAAGTTTATTTTTAATGAAATGACGCCTTTGCTTAATATTCATTATACGTAGATAGAATACCAAAAGATACATCTTTAATAACAAGAAGGTTAAGCTTGGTACATGATGCTGTGATGACTTGATATAATGACAAAAATAAATCGGATTTCACCAACAATTCGTCAAATGTACTATAATTGACTTTTAAAAGCTCTTACCAAGTGCAATGACAGAGACCTGAAGCTGCTTTACTTTTACTTGATCTGTGTTTTTCTTTGCTATGTCCTATGTTGACCACATAAAGGTAATTTTGAACAAATTTCATGGTGGCTGTGTCGTTTTCAGTGATTTGTGTTTGTATTGAATGTCTTTTCATCGTTGGAAAGCAGGGAACAAGGAATTTACATGGACATTACACATTCCCCTTTGATCATCTTTGTCTGCAAGACTTTGTTGTCATATATATGCTGTTTTCTGTCATCATTTCTTTTTAATTGTTATAAATTGTAATTGAAGCCTGTGTTGCTATACAATCACCATCAAATACCCATTCACTCAACGAGAGATTTCTATTGGCTGATTAGAACAGCATTGGAACATTTTTGTCATTCCACACTGCACTCTTTGATTGGCTGATGAATTCAACTGAAATTAAAATTGATAAATATTTACAAAAATCAGAGGAGTGGGCTTGTGGTTATGATAGTATCAATATTTGCCCTCATAGGTTTTGCAATTGGATAACAAGTTTAGATCGTACATGTGGAAAGTGAAGGGTAGGTTTATAGAAAGGTCTCTGCATTGTTTTGCTGAGTGTTTCGACCCCATAGTTACCATGTGTCCAATGTCACCTAGCAACACACTGCGATGACATATTTCTTGTAATAATTGAGTGATATCTAGCTCAAAACGTTGATTTCGTTGCATTATGGGAATATTTGTCATCACACTGACTTCTGGGAGTGGGGTGAAATTTTTCATTTTATACGTTCAAAATAAGGAAATTTAAAAATACGAATAGCATGGAAGCAGCCCATCACAAAACTTTTACAAGCTACATTTTGATATTGCTTGCAATTATTAAATATTCATACAGAAAATATAATTTTAAGGTAGCGGGAAAGATGTGACATTTTTGATAAAGAATATGTCTGTTATCTCATTGAGAAACCTCCATTTACCACATATGACTTGAAAGCCTAGATAGAGAAACATGATGATCATATGAAAGATTGATTTCCAGACCTTACCAAAATGACTAAACTCGCAATTTCAAGAAAATACTGCAGAACTTCTGGCTGAAATGTTAGGAAGTTAAAGCGGGAGGGTCGTCACCTGCGCACGCGCGGGAATTGAGTCCCAAGCGACGATAACAACACACACTAAAAACGCAAAGGCTCATGAGTAGACGCTTTTTTTGTAAACAATGGCCATCTGACACATGCGCAGGTGACGACTCCCCGCTTTAACAATATACAGAAATGTAGCAATTACTAAACACAAATAATTTGTTGTAATATTACCACAAAATACTCATAAATGTTACAATGTATTGACCAATATTACTGCAGAACATATTAATCATGCTGTTATAGGGTACAAAATATGTTAGTATCCTTTGTTATGTAAATATACCGATCAAGAACTTAATAATAATAATAATAATAATCAAATTTTATTGCATCCTTAGAAATTACAATATTTCTTTTGGTAAAAAGCAATAAATATATACGTACACAACACAATTACAATACAATATAAATAGATACGTTAAAGTTTTCTGTATTCCATGGCTTTAAGTAGATAGGTCCCCATACATTTAATTGCCTTGGAGTCCTTGTTGCTCATCAAAAATATAAAATTACTCAATTTATCTCCTGCATTAGTTAATGTAATTTCTGTGAGCAATTCATGTCTAATATATTTGTACCGATCACATTCTAAAAGGAAGTGAACTTCATCTTCTATTTTATTTTGGGAACATAAATTACAAATTCTTTTTTCAATGGGAGTTTTTGGCTGTGTGTGCCTTCCTTTTTCAATAGCCAAACAATGGTTACTTGTTCGGAAGCGTGACATGCAGACTTGATGTTTTTTCGGAAGACAATTTAAGTATGACTCAAAATTATAAGTGTTTTTGAATTTTGCATATGTTCTTAGTTTTGTGTTTTCTTGATTGACATTCTGTTTCCAAAA